AGGATCTTCCCAATCTTTCATCACTTAAAGCAAAGAGCAAGAGAATAACAACCATCATTTTCAACCTTGGCACCATAATATAAAATGATCTAACCCTTGAGGAAAGTGGCAGCCTAGAGTCGCCTTGTAAGAGAGATGAGCAGCATAAAAAATAAATAAATAAAAATAAAATAAATATTGTAGGATGAAGTTGGTGGCTCCCAAATCAGCTAACTATGTTAAAAGCCTAAACGATAAATGATCTAAGGATTCTGTTGTCAATCTCTGGAGAACAACAGCAAGAAAACAGAAAGGAATGGAATAAAATAGAATAGAATAGATTAGAATTCTTTATTGACCAAGTGTGTTTCAACACACAAGTAATGTGTTCTTGGTGCATATGCTCTCAGTGTACATAAAAAGACAAGAAACTGGTATGAGTTGCAAACCAATTTAAGTCAGCTGAGATCAGGTATTTCTTAAAAAAAAACCAAACAAATTACAACTTTATTTTTATGTATTATCCTTTCCTAATCTGGTAACTTCTAGATGTATTAGTTTGCAACTCCAAGAAAATCAACTAATGTGTTGAAACACATCTGGAGGGCATCCATTTGAGGGGAAATGTCTGACACCTGTGAACTCTGCACACTGTGACTATGCTTTCTCTCCTGAATACCACTTGTCTTCTGGTTTTTCTTCTTTCCCTTTCTTGTTATCTAACCCTGTCACCTGAAAGGACATTTCTCATCCACAAATGGTTGTGTTGGGTCTCCACCCCATCTGGATGTCTTTGATATGAAACCGGTTGAAGAAGCTGTAAAAAGTTCAACTCCTTTTGTGAGCTCCACCTTTGGCTCCAAACAAACAGTGGAACTATTTAGTGGTAAAAAAAATATTCTCTTAATTCTTTCCTACCAATAGAAATTGTAATTCTGATTCTTATATATGTATATCAGTTGAAATTCAGTCTCTGCCTACGTTTCCACTCAATATATTGCCATTTCTATTTAATTCAATGAATAATTATGGTGATTTTCATTTGGATCACAAGTGGCATAATTCTATGAAAAGTGCATGTTTTATATTTGATGTAGTTTTAGAATCATAGTAAAATGCATTGTGTTTGCCTTAAATTTTCTTCTACATTCTGCCTGCCCTTGCTTCAGTTCATCCTTTACAATCTGCCTATCTGCTGAGATGTATGTAATAGTTAAGCTCCTTCATTTTCTCCTCTGGTTTTGGGGTGAATGCAATAGTTTTTGTTGTTCTTTTAGGCTGCAAGACTGTTTTATTCTCTCAATCTGACCATTGTTTTGCTAGGCTACCCTCTTCATTCCGCATCGCAGAAAACAACCTCTTCAACAATCAATGTGGACTTCGATGCTGTATTTGGTGGAAAATCGACTATAAATGATTTTGGAACTACAGCAGGTAAAGCTCTTTTTTTTCTCGTGTTTAGCTTTTAGCTTTATGCTTCTCTAAGGTAATTTAAAATTTATGGGGAGGCAGTGGCTCAGCAACTAAGATGCTGAGCTTGTTGATCAGAAAGGTCGGCAGTTCGGATCACTAGCACCATGTAACGGAGTGAGCTCCCGTTAGTTGTCCCAGTTTCTGCCAACCTAGCAGTTAAAAAGCATGCAAAAGTGCAAGTAGAAAAACAGGGACCACTTTGGTGGGAAGATAACAGAATTCATGGGCCTTCGGCATTTAGTCATGCTGGCTACATGGCCACAGAGACATCTTTGGACAGAGCTGGCTCTTCGGCTTTGAAACAGAGATGTGTACTGCCCCCTAGAGTCGGGAACGACTAGCACATATGTGCGAGGGGAACCTTTACTTTTAACTAAGGTAATTTATTAAAAAGCCTTGCTGGAAAAGTCACCTACTCATCAGCAAGAGATAAACTTGGCATCCACCCACCATTTATTGCTTAAGACGAGAGGTTTATAATATCTAAACAATTTCTCCCTTGACTAATACTATTTAAAACTTGTACTTTGACCATGATTCCCTTTTGTATAAAAATATAAACACCACTTAATAGCTTACAGGACTGTTTTGGAATTTAAAAGCAGTGCTAGTATACTCCTGTCGTGGCTTGTTAAGCTGAGTTGTGACTGAATCTCATCTGCTTTCACATGGCCATTATATGTCAGTTCAAGTTACTATTAGCCGTTTAAATCATGGTGTCATCTCCTGCCTTTGTAAGCCATAAACTAGCTTCAGATTTAACACAAATGGTGTTTAACTTTATTTTTGTGGCTGGTGCCCTTACTTCAGTGACGTGTGGTGAGCTTTATGGCTGGTGAGGCAAAGCCCTGGCGCGTCTTTCCAAAAGCCCCACTGAAGCCCCGCCGCTGTGTCCACCATAC